TATATATATAATAAAGCATTCTAAAAAATGAGTATTTGACAATAGAAAAATTCAAGAAACTTCTTCATCAAAGAAATATTAAAATGAATAGTAATATTTGTATAAGGAATAAAAGTTGTTAACTAATTTGTAAAAAAGGCATAAAAGTTTATGCTTTTATCAGCAAACTTAACAATTTACCAATTTTAGTTACATCTATGAAAAGTACATAGCTAAACTAATACTTGTATACATGAAAAAAAAAAAATATATATATATATTTTTTTTTTTTTTATTTTATTAAGAAAAAAATAATAAATAAAGATATATTATAATGATGACATTTATATGTTTATATCTTTATATTCTAATAGTTGAATTAATTTTGTAATTTTAATATTCTTGTTTTTGTTTGAATGTTTAAACTTGAAAATGTTTTAAAATTTATTTTGTTAATGATAAGAAAAAATCTTAAGAACATATTTTGTGTGTAAGAATTAAAATAAAGGATTCACTTGATTACTGCTTGAGTGTATGTGAAATGGCTTTTTTATTATTAAAATGGTAATATTATGTATATAAATAAATTAACTACTTGATAGATCAAAAATTTATTTCATTAACATGTACATTTTTACTCCAAGCACATGTTATTTTATATTAAAGGAAATATTACTATTGCTTCTGCACAGTTAAAAATAAACTTCAAATATTGTATAATATACAATTATATTAGTAAATATTGATAGTGATTTTAACCAGTTTTTAATAAATGCAGTTATTAAAAATTTGTATAAATATCATAATTCTATTATTTTAATATTTGTAAGTACTTCAATGTATATTTCCATATAAATAATAACATTTTTGTCATGGTTGGGAGTGATGAGATGCATTTTGTTATACATCTATAAGAAAGCTATTTTAACATATACTGTACATTTAAAAAAAAATTACTTTTCAAGGATATAACTATAATTTATCATGAGAATTTCCTGTTAAAAATTATAGATTTTATTATCATAAATTAGCTGAATTCAGATATGTTTATTTCCTATTATTTAAGCAATAAAGTTGTGATTTTTAATGGAAGAAACTTAGAGAATTTATTGTATTTGTCAGCCATACAGTGAAAAAATATAGTAACGTTATAAATCATCATTGATTACATTACAAATTTAAAATGACTATTAATGGAAGATAGATCTAACTCCATTGCATGTTATTCATCTAACTTTATATTTGGTAATATGAATTTGTCTGCCAATATATATGTTGTTGATCTGTCTAATAGTTGAAACATTCTCTTTTTATCAATAGAAAAAATGAAAAATTTTTACAAAGTACAATTTTTGATCCCTATGGAAAATTGGTCTATTGAAATTGTGACTGACAGTTGAAGATTTGAAATAGTTCTTGAATTATTGAAATTCAAAAACTATTTTATTGTAAAAAAAACAATATATTTACATCTTGTTATTGTTGATTCTATGATTAGTTTAAAAAAAGAAAGATTTTGTTTACAAAATAAGAATTACAATATTTTTGAATCTTATTATTATTATTTTTTAAATTTAAAAACTAAGATAATTAATTTAATTTTTCATAGATTATTAATTTTATAAAAACATTTAATTTCATTATTATATTGTTTACAAAAATTTATAATTTATTTGTAAAATTACTAAAAATGTAAAAACGTACATTATGATTACAAAATTAATAATTGTTTTATTGTATTTTTTATTTTTAGATGGCACTGCACTGGTGAATTTGAGCAAACTCTTTCTTATAAAAATGATAAACTTGTGGAATCATCAAGTGGTATTAAAAGTAACCAAATCAATTCTGATTTTCTTTCTTCAGCTATAAAAGAGGTATATTTCTTAAATTTTAAAATAATTATAAATTCAAATATTAAGTAACCTTTTATATGTTGTTCATTTTGTATTATAGATTTAATAATCTTAATTCAAAAATAACTGTTACAGTTTATCACACAATTACACACAACCTTGTACAGTAACAAAAAAAATTTATTAAACTGGAAAGAATATACTAAACTGGAAATTTTTTTTATATTTAAATACATTCAGTGTTTGCATATTTCTGTTCTACTTTTGATAGCATTTGTAAATGTTTGATTTTTGGAACATCAACCTGATGAAGGTCATTAAATATGTCTGAAAAAAGTTTTTTTTTTGTTGTTGTTGTGTAAGGTTGTGTGTAGATGATTCAGTGGTTTATTATTCTTATTTGTTAAGAATATTTTTTATATTTTTGTTGCTGAAAATGCTCTCCTTTAACAATAAAGACAATTAAATTCAAAAAATATTTATATTTGTTGATTTTAATTACCATGATTATAAGCTTAAATTCCTGTTTCATACAGGATTTAAGCTTACAATCTAGAAATAAGGTGCACCTTAAACTCTGCACCAGATTGACTTATGGGAATGTTTGCAAATTCTTAAATATAAGCTATATATTATTTTTATTAATCTATTATTTTTACTTTTAATTGCTTAGAATATTTAATTAGGGGTGATAAAATTTATTTTTATGAATCCTAAATACCTAGGAGTCTGCTTATTCTGACTTTGAGTTATTCAGATTTATTTGTTTTTTTCTTTTAAGTTATTAACTACATATAATTATTTTAACAGTAAAAACAGTATTCTGAAATGCAATTTATCATTAAAAATACTTTCATGAAATTCAAAATCTACTGATATATCTGTATAAGGAGTAGTGTTTCCAGCTGTTCAGAATTTTTCAAACTATGGAATTTCAATTATTTTTTAAAAGTTGTTCTGAAAAATAAATGAGGGGTTGTGTTTTTGTTTTAGCTTGTCCATTTTTTATCTTGAGAAGTTGGCATCCCTAATTATAATTCAAATTAGTTTCATTCCTGCTAGGTTGTGTTTTTTGCAATTCATTTTTCTTTCTTTTTACACTGTGGGCACTAAAAGGACTTGTTTTAATTGTACTCTTTGTGGGGCAGCAGGGTAGTGAGGGACAGGAACTGAGATATCAAGGATAGACTGACTACCCATGAAAAATTTCTGGGATTGCTTACCTAGATTTGATCCTGGTTTTCCAGAATGGTAGACTGACATCTTAATTAATCTGTCTTGGCCATCTAGTTGTCTCATCAAGGAAAGGAAAAAATTGTCATAATCATCAAGGAAAGGAAAAAATGTTCCCAAGTTTGTAGAAAAGAGATTTTCTTTTGCTCATCACTTTTTTCAAGTTTGTGTTTTTCATACTGTTCAGAATGCCAACTGGATGACTGAGGCATCAGTCTACCACTATGAAAGATTTAGGATTGAATCTCGGTGGGTTGAAAAATCCCAGAGATTTTTAGCAGTTGGTCTGACCCATATATGTTGGGCTCTGTCCCTCATTATCCAGTTACTCCATGGTGGGTCTGGCTGAACTAATGATGGGCCTGAAAAAAGGCTCTTTTAATGCCTACAGGATAGAAAGAGAGAGGGAGTCAACTTCATATATCCACAAGTTCACACAGTTCACAAATGTTTATAATAACAAATAAAATTTACATACACTTACAATGTTTACAAGAACTACAAATGACAATGTTTAAGATTTACAAAGTAGATCTTCACACACAAAATAAATTAGAGTCCAAAAGTCAATTAATCCACTACAGGTCCATCGAAAAGGGCACCTTGTGACGTATTCCTCAGCTGGAGTTTGATGTATATTCCTTCAGATGTTCATTACAGCACAGTGAGATGAAACCGTCTTCTTCAGCAAGGTCGTTTGACCAACTAACTTGACTTAGACAAGCTTAGGCAAACAGACAAACTTCGGCATACATCGGTGAAGTCAGACCAACTTAGATCAACTTAGCTCTCCTGCCTAAACCCAATCTTTTTATACGGATTGAAGAAAACGCTGATCGACCAATCAGTGTTTCGTAGCGCTATTGGACATCTGCCGATCGTATGATGATCTCTGTAGTTTTGGATCCATGATCGCTGGCCAATCAGTGATCATGGATTCAAAACTACTGGTCGTTTCTTGATCTGAGTTTCTACAGCATTGACCGTTACTCATTTGAAAAGAAAAAGGGCGGGAAATGTACATCCAGGCAATTCCATTCCGACAGAGGGTAAAAAAAAATGTTCAGAATTTCTTGCTCTAAAAGGTAGCAGCTTTAATACAGAGCCAGTACCAGCCGATATACAGAGCTTTGTATACAAGCACTATCAAAGATTGTTGTTGGTCAAAAAATTATTAAAATTATAATATATACATTAAAAGTCTTTTATTATTATTTTTAATATTTCATCAAAAAATGTAGTCCTAATGTTGACCAGAGAGAATGGTACAGGGAATCTTCATTTAATGAGTATTCATTATCCAAGCCCCCATAGTTACATGGTCAAAAAATTATGGAACAACACTTAAAAATTCCCCTTGCTTACAAGGTTTCCTAGGCAGATGGTAACTTCCTCTTTATCTACATGTGCATTGATACATATCACCGTACACAAGATGCGTTATTGCGCATTTGTCATTTCAGTTTTGGTTCTGGCCGGTTTTTCTCTTCTGTTTTCTGATTTTCTAATTGTATAAATTTATATCTTATTGCTTCTCTACTTAAATATACTATTATTTTTAACATATTCAGTTTTATTTCAGTTTTTGTAAAAGATCTCTTTATTATTGGTGTATTTTTATACTTTCTTTAAAGTTTGTTTTCTAAAATGATTATTATAAAAATAAAAATAAAAATTTGATTATTATATTACTTTAAAGTATGTAATTCTGAATATGTATAGTTTCAATGTATTCGTAATAATAGTTTTTTTCTCGCAGACATATACATTACATGGTGTATATAAGTCTCGTACATTACAAAAATCTCATTTATCAAATAATGTTAAGAAAAGACCAATATCTCTTCTGCTCGAGGTTAAATCTGGAGTTAAGATCAGGAAATCAAAGGTATTTCAGGTATACAAGAGTTTAATAAAAATATTTTTGTTAAAAAGTTCCCTGTAATATCTTCATAAATGTCCACTAAAATGACTCACTGCTAATTGTGTGTAATGGAAAACTTGGTGTGAAAAATTATTGTTTGAAGAAAATAACAATGTGCATGTCATATTTTAAAGTAATATTGTCTTTAATGTTATATATTAATTAATGACTGTTTAAAATTAAATAATAATAATTCAGTAAAACTGCATGATAAATTCAATTAAAAACAGTAGTGTGAATAATCAAATCATTTGATTATTTATGTACAGGGTGTACATAAAAGATCTTTGCAACTTTATGCATTAATAAGAATTTTAAGTCTACCTTCACAAAAGTTCCAGATAGATTTCATTTAAAAAAGATATTCAAAAATGTTCATATATGGCATTCTTGGTCATGAGCATTTCACAATAGGTACTGATTAGCTGGATTAACAGAATTTACTCAGTAGCCATGAGTCCTCAAGTGCATTGAGTCATTTATTGAAACAAAATTTAATATTGTGGCTCTAAATAAGTGTGGAACTCTATATAACACACCACTGTCATCAAGATCTATTTTCATGCTTGGTATGAAAGATTTATGACCACAGTAAGTGTTGAATATAAGAAAGGTTATGAGTGACCTAGAGTATCTGATGAAAATATGGAACAAGAGTGAGAGTCATTTCTTCATAGAAGTCAACATGAACAACAGCTGGAGTTAAATGTGTCTCTCACACTGTTCATAAAGTACTGAGGAGTTGTTCACATATATGTTCTTGCACATTTCAAATCCCATAAGAAATCACTCAAGATGATTGGATTTCTCATAGAGATTTTGCAATTACCATGCTTGATTGTTTGGAAGATATCAACAGTTTTCTTAGAAAAAAGTAACTTTTAGTAAGGCTACTTTTCATTTGTTCAGCAAAGTAAATAAATAAAATGTCAGTGTCTGAAGCTTGGAAAAGCTGCATTTCATTTATTAACACATCAGAGACAGTCCCATAGTATGGAGTGTCACACAAAATGATTGGCCCATTTTTTTTTTTATGAACCAACCATAGATTGCTAACATTTACCTTGACATGTTAGAAAACTTTGCCTATCCTCATTTAAGAGTTACAACCTGATATGTTGTTCTAGCAAGATAGCATTTCACCACATTAAGTATTGATTGCTTGTGAATTTCTAAACATACAATTCCCTAATTGATGGGTTGGCATGGTGGTCCCATAACTTGACCACCAAGGTTATTGAACGTAATTGTGATTTCTTAATGTGTGGTTCTGTGAAGGATCATGTCTACAAATCTTGGGTAGCTGATGTGAAAGATTTGAAGGCAAGAATCATTGCTGTGCTTGTTGATGCGCTATACTATACATAGAAAGAACTGCAATATTGCTTGGACAGTGTATTTGTAACTAAGAGCATGTGTTGAATGTTTGTGATTTCAGTATTCCAGAAAAAGCTTTGAAGTATGCTTTATCTTATTCTGTCTATATCATAATTGTAAGTTGTTTAATAAGTTTCCTATGATCAATTTTAGTTGTAAAGATCTTTTATATATCCTGTATAATTTGGGCTTGTTTTCTGTATGATAGTCATAATGTATTGATTAAAAAACAACTATGATTATTGTTGTATTATTTGTTATCACATTATTCATCATCTTTATAATTATTTGTAGATTAGTAAGTCTGATCATTTTAACATTTTATGCTAGNTTGTAACTTTGTATATTTAACTTTTTATATTTGTAAATATTTTTTTGTATATTTAACTTTTTATATTTGATAAATATTTGTAACTTTGTCTCACTTTGCATTGTGTGTGGATAGCCAAACAGGGTAAGAAAAATTGGTTTTGGACATGTTAATTCCAATAGTATTAGATAAATGATAACATCCATGATTATAGTAAGTGGATTCTGCTAAATGTACCAAAAATGTTAAACTGTGGTATATAAACTAATTTTTTTTAAACAAATAATAGTCTTGTATCAGAGTGTACTGTTTAACAGCAAAATTTATTTTCCGTTTTTTTTTGTAAGTGTTTTATTTTGACTGCTAGCAATGATTTTTGTTGTCTGTTGTTTCATTAATCTATTCATTAAGCTGGAAATTTAAAAAAAAGCATAACATTAATATGACTTTGCAAGACATTTTCAATATATTTAATGTGTGATACTAAATATTCTCATTCATTTATTATAATGATTACAATTCAAATTTGTATAAAATTTACTATTAACTTGGTAAAACAGAAAAAACAAACAAATTAATTAGCCTTTAGCTTTTCTTATATTTTTCAATTTTATATTTTATACTTTTTTTTTTACAGATCTTCTCAGTGTTATGTGAAAGAGTAATGTTTTATGTTCTAATTTTTATTATATAATATTCCTTTGTATGTTATAAACAGACCTGTAATTAGAACTTCCTGTAGATTGATTTAGTAAATAAATAAATATCTTTTATGTGTGTCATATGATAAATATTTGTAACTTTGTCTCACTTTATTACAAGTATCATATTTCTATTATAAATATACACTGTAAAAGTGTCAATATAAGTAATAAGGATATTGCTCTGAAGAGTGATAGTGTCTCTAGTTTTAGTGTTGTTAATTTTTATAGGATGATAATTTTATAAAATTGAATAGCACTTCAGATACATTGTGATCAGTAACTTTAATTTAAAGGTTTAGAACTAATAGCAACATTGGCATTTTCCATTATAAAATTGTTTCATTATAACCTTTACGAACAGTCATAAAGTTGTAAGTATAAGTAAAGTCTTCTATTATAAGCTTACATAATAAAATAAGGTTGTAATAGTAGCCAATTGGAGCAGTCTTTTGCTTATAACAACACCAGTAAGATTTAGATACAAAGTAATTTTCCAGTTTTGGATCTTCTGGATCCAAGATTTTCAAAGTTTGTATGATGTTCAGATTTGATCATTATAATATTAGTCAACAACTTTGTTTCATTGTGTTACTTTCTTTGAATTTATGACTATTGTCTGTCAATAGTCTTGTTTTTAAAATAAAATGTTTTAAGTGTAATAAGTTCTTGTGCAAATGCCATCAATAATATTAAATATTATTGATGGCATTTGCACAAGAATAGTGTAACATTAAATTTTAATGTTACACTATTTATAAACTTGTAATTGTAACAAAAAATACTATTATGCAAACTTGACTCACCATTATTTGAAAGAGTAACTAGATTATCATTTTAGTAACTAGCAAAACGAATTTTTTTAAGATATTTATCTCTATGCTTATCTAACTTTGACTTATCCAAATTTTTGCATTATGTTCATTTTTTTAAAAAATATGCTTGGTAGAAAATAGTTTTTATAAAATTTATTGTAATCAGATAAGCATTGCTTTATTTATTAAAATGTCTGGTTTTAGATATTTCTAGAAAGTATGCTGCTGATTTCTTGTGCTGTATCAAACCATATTGCACCTTTATTATATCTTAGTCTGTAAATAAATTATATAATACTATGTGCTTTACATTCACATTGAAATAATCAAATGTGACAGTTGGCTTAAAAAATAAAAAGCAATTGCATATTCTCTGTTTTATCCAAGGTATCTTTTATTACTTGGGAAAATCTTGTAGTGTTTAGCAATTTATATTATGTATTTAAGAAATATACTACTTGGTAAGAGATTGGTAAATCTTTCTTATAAATTTGTAATTGTAACAATCAATTATTTATTGTGATGTCAACACAATGTTGGGCAGAAATTTTTAATCATATTTTTAATTTATTTAATTTAAAATATATACTCTCCGCCTTAAATTAGTAATGGCTTGCCCCTGTGCATCATACTTTTGTTATTAGCAATAGTGTCGTGTCAGTCGTCTATTAACTTGCTTTCAAGGGAAAAGTTATAAATTGAAATAACATGACTTTTGATTTGCATTGGAAGTTTGTATATAGTTAATTGGGGCCTCCTGCTGCTAAACTTTCCATATCTGGTCTCAGCTTTCATCTATCTAACTCTGTTCTCAAGATTAAGGATGGACGGATAGACAACAGTTGGAATTTATAGGTCTACAATTTTTCAAATTGCAGCCCAAATATATTAAATAAATTTTTCTCATACTATAATGAACAAAGTTTCTTCTCATCATGTATACAAGTATTAGTTTAGCTATGTACTTTTCATAGATGTAACTAAAATTGGTAAATTGTTAAGTTTGCTGATAAAAGCATAAACTTTTATGCCTTTTTTACAAATTAGTTAACAACTTTTATTCCTTATACAAATATTACTATTCATTTTAATATTTCTTTGATGAAGAAGTTTCTTGAATTTTTCTATTGTCAAATACTCATTTTTTAGAATGCTTTATTATATATATA